TTAAACCGATCTGTGAACGGTGAATCCAAAAACAAAAAAACAACAAATATAAAGATAAGTAATAAAAAATTTCCCGTATTCATAATATAAACCATTAAAATTTTTTTAATGCTAAAACAGAAAACTAATTTGTTAGAAATAAGAGAAAGAAAGGTGAAAAAAATCCTACTTTTTTTTTGTTTACCTTATCATTCTTTTTTTTTGGTTGTTGAATGATAAATGAATAAATAGCATAATGTTCTAAGAAATATTATATTGTTAAAAAAAAAAAATGCACATTTTTTTTACAAAACAACTGATAACTGTTGTCACGTTTTTTTTTTTGGACGATAGATAGGAATAGAAAAAAAAAAGATGAAAAAACTTGCAAAAAGACTTTGTAGCAAAAGAATTGCAAAAAAAAAAATAAACAGGTACCTAAGCATACAACAGATAATGTATTACATCCCTCTCCATTACATATGTTTTTTGTAATTTAACTATTTAAATATTTGATTTCCACCTAAATATCGGTACTTATTTGCCTTGATTGCTGTTGCGGGGCTGTTCCCCTGTGTATGGGTTTGAGCTAAATTTGAAGTGATTTGAAAAGGAGAAGAAAAAAGAAAAAAAAACTAAATTTTTTGAAGGACATTCCGTCAGTTTCAATTTAATTTATCATCCATTTTGTTCAATACATTTTTCTCATCTCTTTCTTTTTTTAATTTTTTTTGCCTATATGTATTTGTTACTATTTTTTTCTTTTTCTTTTCAGATTATTAAGTCACAAAATCTGAAATTTGTTTAAAAGAAAAGTAAGGGAAAAAAAAAGAAACCAGCATTAATACCATTCTTATTAGCCGTATAGTAGCAGCAATAGCTGTAGAAAAAGAAAACGTGGAAAAGAAGAAGAAGAAAAAACAAAATCAGATATCTGAAAGTTAGTGCTGTGGTTGCTGCTACAGTTTTTTCATCAGATAACCACCACTATTATCATAGTGATCATCACTGCTCTAAAGCATTTTTTTGGTTGATCAAATTACTGCTGCTACAAAACAATACAATTAACAACAGCAACTAATTGTTTCGCTATATTGCATCTCAGTATCACCAAAAAGTCATCCAACAATTACAGCACCACTCCATTAAGCAATTCAGTAATTTCTTAGCAATTATTTTTTTTT